TGTGGTGAATGACAGCCCCGTTCGGCGTTACTTCCGGAGAATCATATGTGTGGATTACTCCTTTAGGTGTGTGCTAACCTCGACATCTCTGGCCCGCTACACTATGGATGGTGAGGTCTTCCTGAATATTTCTTCTCAGACTCATAGGGATCAAGAAAAAGTATTTTAGTTATTTTAACTATTCTCATTTGTAGACCAAAGGCAAAAATCGAAAATTTGTCGAGTCCAAAAGCTCGAAGGAAAATGGTGAGGTCTTCCTGAATATTTCTTCTCAAACTCAAGGGGATAAAGAAAAGGTATTTTAGTTATTTTAACTATTCTCATTTGTAGACCAAAGGCAAAAATCGAAAATCTGTCGAGTCCAAAGGCTCGAAGGAAGATAGCGTTCATCGAGTTATACAGTCCAATATCGATGGGCCAACTCATCGAGATACTTTTGCGACCCAGCGACATCACAAGGATTCTAAAGAGTCGAAATGTTCGCTGGAAACTGAAAAGCCTTCTTTGAGTCCTCGTAAAAAAATACCGAGTTATAAACGAACACTTAAGTTTGCACATGCTCTTGGAAAGCCTGAAAAGCCTTCGACGAATCCGCTTCAGGTGGGCCTGTCAGCTAAGCAACATCCAAATCAAGAGGAATTTCTGGACACTGTCAAGTAGTATTTTTATTATCTTATTTTGTTAGAGAATCTGTCAATGCTTTTATTGAACCGCTTTTTTCAAAAACATCTTGGAAGGAGTTCGGGGAGAAGATTGGCCTGCACCCGCATTTAGTATCAACATTGATTAACCACTTCCACCTCAAGAAACCTACTATGATTCAAATGTCAGCAATCAAACCGTTGTGTGATGGATGCGATGCATTAATAAAGGCCCAGACAGGGTCTGGCAAGACGTTTTCATACGCAGTGCCTCTGATAAATCAGTTAATGAAACTCGATCCACCGATTACTCGTGTTGATGGACCTAAGGCTGTAATACTCCTTCCTACTCGGGAGTTAGCTTCACAAACTGCGGATGTTTTCGTCCAATTGACTAAGGCTTGTATCCGGATAGTTTCGGGATGCCTTATAGGCGGACAAAAGCGAAAATCTGAAAAAGCAAGGTGTGTTTCTACTACATTTCAAGGTTTTCAAAGTAAACACCTGTTGATCCTTTATTTTATCTTACGTCTACTGATTCGGTTTCTACAACAATCACTTATTTTGTGAAACTTCAGGTTTTTTTTCATTTTCTCTAATAGCGTCCGAAAAGGATTGAATATTATCGTAAGTACGCCTCAGCGACTTCTCGACCATTTGGGGAAGACTTCAAGCCTGACCGTAAAAAGCGTGCGGTGGCTTGTTATCGATGAAGCCGATCGTCTCGTCGAACTTGGCTTTGAGCGTGACGTTCGGCGCATCATTGAACGTGTGGCGAGAGAGGTATCTACCGTCGATGGATCAACACCCGTTCAGACTGTACTTTTATCAGCGACTCTTACGCCAGGTAAACTTTTCAAAGATTCAACTGTCTTATAAATTTAATGCAGATTATTGTTAGACCCGGCAAAATGTTATTTTAATAAACGTGGATTTCCTGATAAAGTACTTTCTCGCTAATATATAAATACCCATTCGACATTATAAGTTGATCAGCTCGGCCTAAAATAGTGCTCACAACAGTTAATTCATTATGGTAATTACCACTTCCCGCTGGAAGACTACTTGAGTATGCAGAATATTAGTCAACCGGGTCGGGTTTTCTGTCGGCACACTGCGAACCTCTCAGGCTAAATGAAAAAGAATTGATTTTGTCATACTCGTGAGTCTTTCTCTTAAAAGCTCGCTTTAGGTACCGCGTCACCTCTTTGTCCTTAGTATAATCATCTAAGCTTTACAGATTGCCGATCCTATTAGGAAGGTAGCGTGTCCTCTGAACCTCGAAAATGCATTTCGTCTTTTATTTGATTAACTTTGAAATGGACACGATTAGGCTTGACTCTTATTCTCGAGGCTGTCGAGGGAATGACAACTTTTATGAACCAGGAACTTTGCCACTTGCCTATTACCTTGTGTTATTTTTTAACGAGTCTTCCTAGCTTCGTGATCTTCTAACTTACACTTGAAAACTTTCCGGAAATTTTTGATCCTAGCCGGCTATTAGCAAAAATTCTTCGATTGTTATCATCCTGGGTGAGGAAGAACAAGAACCCCTGACTAAGTCATGGTACCAGAATATCCGATAAGGCTTACGGATATTTGAAAGTGGTCATTTTCTAAATGAAGAGCCTTTTGGACAGCTTTGTCAAACTGTGGCTTCTCATCATTTGTCCTGTACACAATTCCTTATAATCAGCTAATTGTGTTTTCTATTAGCGGGCAAACTACTAACGG